TACTACGATAGTACGATTCGGACCATCAAAAAAGAAAGAAATGGCATTATGCAGTTCATATAGCGTTATTTCTTTCCTATTTTTAGCAAGGAATAGACAATTTTGGAACATCATTCGTACTTTCCATCACTATAACAATAATACTATTTATACTATATATACTAAATATTTTAATAAGCATACATTATGCTTACATTAAAATAAGATTGTTTTTTGAAAGGTTATGGTAGACCCCCATTCATTATTTCAAATTATTTTTAATTAAAATGGTAGGGTAAAACTAGGTAAAACGCCCCAGTTGACAAAACGCCCCACTTCAATAATATGCACATTAAGACAGCTACGAAACGCACACAACGCACACTAGTAGACAATAGTCGTCGGACAACATGGCTGGCGTCCACACGTGATTCTCGAACATCACAAGAGAAAAAATTCAAATCGAAGGTTTTGTGCATTAAAACAATTTGCGGTGAGTTTCAGCATTTTTCTCATACATTAGTTGTTTTGTATTTCTTATTGGATTGACAGGTATCATAGTAAAACACGATAAATTTACTTTGTTTTCTTATTGTACCTACAATTATAACCTTGAACGTGTCGTCTTGACGTTGGTGGGGCGTTTTAAAAATCGAAATTTACAATATGCCCCACGTGTTGTTTTATAATACGCCCCAGCATTTCAACTAAACCAAAATTACATAGTTTAGAAATTTATTACAGATAATGCCTCGAAAATACCAAAGAAGTACTCTGAGAGCGTCATGGGCGTCGGAAGACCTGGAAAAGGCTATGGAGAAAGTTCGAAATAAAGTAATGGGTGTCAATGAAGCTTCCAGAACTTTCAAAATCCCATCTCGGACACTCAGAAGGCATCTTCTATCTGGAAAATTAAAGGTTCCCCTTGGTCGCAACCCAGTATTTTCCATCGAGCATGAAAAGAAGATAGTTGCTCATATAAAAAAATTAGAACAAGTTGGATTTGCCCCAGAGAGAAAAGATATTAAAGAGATGGCATTTCAAATAGCAAAGAAACTTGAAATAAAAAATCCATTTTTAGAAAGTTCGGCATCTGCGGGCAACACCTGGTTTATGGGATTTATGAAACGTAACCCTGAATTAAGTACGAGACAGTCAGAAGGATTATCGCTTGCTCGGGCTTATGGAGTTAATCGAGAGGACGTCAAATACTTTTTCGATTTACTAACCAAACTCTATGAAAAAAATGATTTTGCCAACCACCCTGAAGACATATATAATATGGACGAGTCTGGCATCCAAGTGAACAATAAAGCTGGCAAAGTGGTAGCCACAAAAGGAGCCAGAGACGTTTTCACGCTCACTAGCTGTGAAAAAGGGGAAAATGTCACAGTTATTGCTTGCTGCAATGCCCAAGGAAACTTTATTCCTCCAGTACTGATATACAAAGGAACATACAGTAAGCCACAGTTTTCCGAGGGACTCCCCCCTGGATCCCAAGTTTTTATGAATAAAAAGTCTTCCTACATTAATTCAGATCTTTTCATGAAGTGGTTTGAAGAAGTGTTTCTACGCCACAAAAGTCAAAGAAAGACGCTGTTGGTTTTAGATGGACACAGCTCGCACAGTAATAACATACGACTACTGGAAGTGGCCAAAGAAAACAACGTGATATTGTTGTGTCTCCCTAGTCACACAACACACGCCCTTCAACCACTAGATAGAGCATTTTTTCGTCCTCTGAAGATGTACTTTGCTCAAGAAGCAAGAGCATGGATGGTAAGAAATAAAGATAAGAAACTGACACGATATGACGTTTCAAAACTGATCGGCGGGGCTTGGGGTAAAGCTGCTACTATACGAAATGGCGTATCAGCCTTGAAGTCGTGTGGAATCTATCCCTTCAACCCTAGTGCTATTCCTGAACACTACTTCTCCTTGTCAGATTCTTTGCGAGAGCAAGATTTGGTCGAAAACGCCCCAAATGATGAAGATGATACTTCGACAGAGTCCATGTCATTGCTTGTAGGTCCTTCGGCTACACTTCCAGATTTACCCATAGCGTCACAGCAGATCAACCTTGAACTGGAGGCCGAAAGTTCAAAACAACATCGTTCCGAGTACGTTTTGATGACTACTGCGTCAACACCCACATCACCCAGTGAACAAGGATCTGGTAATATTTTGGTCACCACAGTGACAATACATTCTTCGCTTCGTTGTCGCGTTCCTGAACTTGAAGCTAATTTTGAAGAACAAACAGCCAATAAAAACAAGTCAGATGATTCTACAAGTGCTATTCATTCACCGATACAAATAATGACTCTTTCTCCAGCAACCCCCAAAAAATGTCCGCAGAAGCGTCCTACTGAACCATATAGCATTGAATTAAATGACATGGATCTGATTGAACAAATAATACCTGAAAAGACCGTAACTGCCGACTCCAAAGATACGCCTTCCAAAATTTTAAGTGAAATCCATCCTGTACCGAAACTGCCATTCGTACTATCAAAAAAGAAGCAAAAAGCCGTTATTCTAACTTCTGATGAGCATATACAAAAAAGAAAATTAATTGCAGATAAAAAGAAACAGAAAGTTGAAGCTGGGAAACTAAGACAAAACACGAGCGCCAGAAAGAGAAAAGTAAATGAAAGTCATAAAAGTCGCACAAAGAAGCAAAAAACAATTGGAGAAAAAGACAGAAGTCGACAAAAAAAATTAAAGAAAGATCCTTCAAAACTACAAAAAAAAAAGAAGATAGAATACTCATCTTCATCTGATAGTAACGATGAAAATATATCAGTTGTTTCAGAGGATGAAATATCCGATGAAGACACAGACAGATGTGCGGAATGCACCGAAAATTATTTTCATACGAAATCGTCAGAAGACTGGATTCAGTGTACGTCGTGTTCTGCATGGTTGCATGAGTTTTGTACCATGTATAACCCTTTATGCAATCGCTGTGGTCGAAAAGCAAAAAGAGTAACTGTCAAGAAATAGTCCTATACCTAATGTTAAATGTTTGAAGACTGATTTATCGTAGTACAAAATTAATGCCAGTAAGAAAACTGTGATTTTGAAAGAAGCATTTGCATTTTTGATTTTTTTAAAATTTCTTTTCGTATAATATAGGTAGATTTTTAGAATTTTTAGATACAAAATAATATTAAGACTGAATTTTTGCCTTTATACGTAGTTCATTTAGCATAAGAATAGCAAGAAAATGTGATTTTTAAACTGGGGCATTTTGTAATACTAGTGAGGCATATTAGCCAACAGTCATTTTACAAAACGCCCCACCTCATCTTTAAAAAAAATTGTCACCAAAAGGCATTTATTGGTCTGTATTACTTTAAATAATTCACAAATAGTTCCTAAAATACCAAATATTGTTCCAAAATAAAGATATTGATTGAATGTCTCCAGAATTTGATTTCATTGAACTCTAAAAAAAAGTGGGGCGTATTGTCTAGTTTTACCCTACACGTTATCTACAATTGTGATGTTAGTGATGAGCAGCAATTTTCAATTCAAATATTCATATGCTAAAATTTTATGCAAATTCCTGCATCAAAACCAATATCAATGAAGCAGAAATATCGTGCGGGGCGATCACGATACGATATTGATCCGATTCTGCTGTTACGCCAAAACGATCTTGTTTTTATGTAAATTAAGTTTACGCTTAAACGATCTGATGAGTTTTACATTACATAATTATAACTACACTCACATATATTAAATATGTAGGTCTCTTAGGACAGAAAATACTTTTCTTATATCGTCTCTGTCCTAAGTGTCGTATAAGCGAATTTTTAAGGTCAAACATATTTTCAGTTACGCAACTTAACATCTTGAGCAACGATTCGGGTCAATTTCATTTTACCAATGAGTTTTCTTCATATACAAAACAAGGTAGACTAGCACACAATGTCTTTTACGATAAAAATATCAAATTTAGTGACAAAAACGACTATCTGAACAAAAAAAAATACAGAATCGCACATGACAAAAAATGAAAGTTTATGTTAATCACAAATACAAAATTTTAGTAATAATAACAACACACGCACTCATAGGCCTGCACTAGGGAAATCCTGTGCCACGGATGCCATAGCCACACACATAGGCAACCACAAATTACACCCAAACTCACGAGAGAAATAAATATAGGCCATACAAATATTTCTCCCCCGCCCCGGAATCCAACCCGGGATCTCTGCGTGGCAGATCAGCATGTTAACCGTTCGGCCACGTAGACAGTTAATGGATACAACAATGTCAAACCAATTGCATCAAATAAGACAGTAATACGAATAAAGACATGACATATTGGTACACCGAATGGAAATATAATTATTTACATAGACGTTAGCCAAAATCGCGTAGTAGCTTCAGTCATCTAGGCGTAATAACTCTTCTTAAAACAAAAGGCAAGAGACATCTCGTGAATAATTCCGAGTTAATTCCAAAGATTTCAGTAACAGCATTATAAAGACAATATCATCAGCAGTCCATTGAGACAATAATGATGGGGTGCGGAATGTGCACGATGTTTCAGGGTCCTATTAGCATACAGATTGAACCTCACGGAGACGATCGGAATGCGACCGATAATGAACTCAATTCCGTGTACAATTGAGAAATCCGATTTGAATATTGTCCTCATGTTTAAGAAACAAAGGTTGAATGCGGTATCGAAGCGTTTTCATATTACTTCTGCATGGCCTTATCACGAACTTTTATGATATCGATAAAACATGTTGAAATATATTTATCATTTTCATTTATAAATCAATTGCTACAATCTAAATTTTGATCTCAATTACGAACTTCTCGAAACTGAGTTTCTGTACTAAAATACCACTTAATTAACTAACATTCGGCTTTCCAAATTCTAACCGCGGCTTATTTGATAAATGCATCCACTATTAGACTGGAAACCCTTAAAGGCGTTCAGTTCCGAAGTTACTATCCTACTATTGATTAATGCTATCATCTGTCATGCAACTTACCTCGTTTTCCTTAACAGTTATAGCTCTATCAGTCTTTCCCGTCTCCAATTGGTCAGTTTTTAACAGCGACTCATCAATCCGCGTACTCTCGTCTACTAATATTTCTTTACTATTTTTTCTATAATGCCTTATTAGGTCAGGTTTCGGTCTACCAATCGAGTTACTGACGTTCTCATTGGTACAATTTTCTTTGCCGAATTTACGATCGTCGTCTGAACGTGACTTATCCTCGGAACTCCGCGTTTTGAAACAAGATATCGATTTTTTGTCCGCTCTAGCCTCCTTTCGACTAATTGATTCATCTTTATCGTTTTTGTATTCTTTGCGGTTTTTGATTTCTGATTTGAGACGTTTTTTCTTTACGTTCCATTTAGAACTCCCTTTTTTAGAAGGGTGGCCATCATCGCTTGTGCTTAAGCTGTCAGAACACACGGGATTGACCAAAATTTTCGTTGATTTTGTTTTTCGTTCTATCTTTCGTAAATTGAGGAGACTTCCTGAGGAGCTGATAAAAGAAGGTGATGATGTCAGAGATGGTGAGCTAGTTTTGTCTTCGCTGAAGCGGCGAACTGTTCTAGGCATCATTTTAATTGTTTTAATGGCATCAGGATTAGTGTGACGAGCTTTGCTGGTACCGAGTGGTCCCATGTCGACGGAACCTCCTTTGAAAAGTAGTGCAGTCTCCGTAGGCTGACACACACAAGCTAACATTTTCGCCAGTCATTTATAACTTAATACTATTATCACTCACATAAATTTGGTGTTATTATTCATTGTTTTTGATACTTTATAGAAAAACACAACTTTAAAAACTGGAAAACCTGTGGCATTTTATAATGTTAAAAAAGCTGTCATTTTTAAGTTTACTATTTTCAAAATCTAAATAAAAAATGGATTTTTCATATGTAAGCACATTATCCTTGGATAAAAGTCTACAACTCATTCACAAGAAAGATTACACTGAGTAAAATAAAAATTCTGTAAGGATTGCTCTTTGTAAATAGAGGCTTGTAGACATTTATTATTTATAATTTATTTCAAATATACTAGATACAACCTGAAAGAGCTAAACAGGTGAGTACCATGAACTTTTATCATACAATTACGTAGAATGGTAGAACTTTTAGTACAGTCTTATCCTAGAAAAGCTAAATAATTAACAAGACATAATCTAATAGACTAATAACACTATTTATGTGCTTAAGAAAGCCGTTATTAGGTTAACCGCACATCTTTCACTGAGATATTAAAGTTTCTTCACTTCAAGTGAAGAACTATGACACACTGTTAATAACTAGGAGCGGAACGTTGCCCTTGTGTTAATATTCTAGTAATATTTTAAGCTACCTTGACAGCAAATAAGGTCATTTATCAAGGGAGGCTCACGTTTGCGTGACTCTCTGTTGAAATTGGTAGCGTTAAGTAGGTCGTACATTAATATTGAGATTTGGGAACAAATATCTGAAGAAAAAAAAATTACGCGAGATATCATACAATTGTCATGGACTTCTTAGTCCAGTCCTTGGACCTCATACCAATTTTACAACTTTAAATCGCAAAGATTTGATGGACACTGCCACTGCGCCCTTCACCCTGAGACATAAGTGGACCAGTCCCTTGTGCCTGTAATTTTACCAACATCCTTACCCTTCAAAACCGAACCGCAGTAATGCTCACATTACTGCTCAGCGGCAGAAATAGGTAAAGTGGCAGTACTTTACTGGACGAACTTTTTAACAAGGAACTCTACTGCTACTTCTTTCTGTGAGAGAGAAAATTTACATAAAATTTACACTCTTAGTTAAGTCACTTTTAGTACTAAATTTTATTTCAATGTTTATTCTCTAAACGTTGTGGCAAATACCGACTTTAATTGAAATGTCCCATGTATTTCTTAGAAAACAATACTACTAACTATCAAAGTAGAACTACAATATTCGACGATATTCATACCGTGTGTTGTAAAATCAATATCGCGTGAATAGAGCATATTTTAAAGCCTACACTAGCGCAGGCCTTTTCAACGTACAATAAACTGAATGTCAAGTAACAAAGTTCTACAAAGGTTGGACTCGTACATCCTTTGTTCAGTTTTCACCAACAACTTTATTATACAACTTCAGAAGCCAAAGAAGAGAACGACATACACGAAGATCTGAACAGATTTGTTAATTCACTTCATTGTCAACATTTTTCGTCTGTGGCTTAATTGATTAATAAACCTTTTTTTATATATAAAGTAAACAAGATCACCGTCGCCTACGAACGCCTGCAACACCAGTGGCGTTACGAGCGCATTGTCAACCCTTTAGGACCCTTTTCAAACCTATTTTGAAGGAGTTCATGCTGTATTTCTGCGGGAAAACCTCAACTGGGAATTCATTCCACAACCTAAATGTTCATGGAAGCTCCTTGAAACCGTACAGTCCGAAATCGATTCGTTTCCAGAGCGTGAGGATGGACTTACTGTCGGTTGCGAGCTGTGCAACGGCCATTGTACAGTAGATACTAAGGGCGCCTTCAAATTAGACGCTTATAGAAGCGAATAGAAGATATTTAGAAGCGCAGTCGCAACGCCATTGTCGTGCTACGCGCGGGCCACTTTTACTGTCACAATTAGTGGACTAAAAATTACTGAAGCGCCACGGTTGCACTGCAACGCTTCTACAAGCATCTAATGTGAAGGAGCCCTAAGTTAAAATATTTGTTATCATTTCACGTAAATAGTTCACAATGATCTCTATCTTATCCATCTCATTTCTCTCTCTTTCTCTTCCTCTCCACAAATAAACAGATACATAAAATCTACTTATAAGTATATAACGTAGCATCTATGTGATAACTTAAGAAGGGGAATATTCCCTGTGCGACTTCCGACGTTTATTTCCGATAGCGAGACGGAGCCTCTCTGGTAGACGTTCGTGCATCCCATTGCCACTCTACATATTTAAACTGCAAAAGTAAAAGGTGACAACTTGCATTTCAACCACAGCGCTGTGTATCTCTAATAAAATTTTTACATTTAAAAAACTTATAGGTTTGTTCATGTCACTATCTAAATTGTAAATTGCTGTGAGTACTAAGTTTTGAAGAATGACAAGTCCTTCATTAGTGAATCGGTTTCAGGCAAACAATAAGTTGACATTTGACCACAGCAACTTTGATGATACACTATCAATAGTTAAACATGTAATTACTGAACCTCAAATACAGGATACCAGTGCCACAGGACAATTTTTTCGCTTTACACAGTTAACCTCCACACAGTAAAAACAGATTACCTAGAAAAGGACAAAATTCTTTTTATGAAGACAAATTTATTAAGTCCAACAAAACGATCCTCTCCCTATAGATGCTAGAGAATAATTACTTGATAATAGTAAAAAAGTCTCAAAAGTGTATTTTAGTTATAAGACAGAAATATTTAATCCAAGAGCAAATTAATTTACTTCAAGTCACAAAGCCACTCTAGTAGTAGTAATTCAACAAAATATTTATTTGTTACTAGAAATGTCCGATTTTGATTTGAAAAAAAAAAAGAATTAATAATTGAGAGATACTTAATTATTTGACTGAAGAATATCAAAAAGGGTAAATTCACAGGGTTATGGAGCCAACAGTATGACCCACTAGCGTGAAAGCACACTGTTCAGTGCCAAACCTTAAAGTAGCAAAAATAGGACGGAATCTTCTCAAATACTTGAGGACCAATCAGTGCCGTATAAATGCTACAGCGGCAGAAAGCACTAACAAATCCAAATATATGAGATAACTTTATACTATTGAAGTTAACAAAACGATAGCGCGTTTCAGAGTACAACTAATGCCATCTAGCAGTGGCGTGGTAGAACTAATTGCATGTTAAAGTTGTGCTTGTTACAAGTGTAGTTTGATTTCATGCTGAAACCAAATTTCTTAAATTATGACTATAAATAACACCCTAACAAACTAGAGATACGAATGAGAGTAGTGTACATATTGTTTCTTTGGATAAATGACAGTTTATGATTTTTATGATTACAAGCACAAGTAAAAGTAATCGTTACAGCGTGCGCCTTCGGCGACATGTCACGACAACATTGACTATGAAAACGCAACGAAATGTTGCTTTAATAATACACTCTAGAATTTAGAATATGAATCTGAATAGCAAACTACTTCTTTTTTGTTTAAGAATGTATTTTCTTAAAATACACCCAAGAAATTTTGAATTCATTTAAGATTATTTAAATTTGATGTAAGAGGTAAAAATTTCTTGATGTAAGTAATGTCCAATTAATTGATTAGAAACGAAATAAAATCTTGAAGTGAACGTATTTGTCTAAAAGTTAGAATAAAGTTAAGAGTAAAATTGTATTAGAAAAAGGTAAGCAGTATTTTTGTAATGACAATATTTTATTACTTTTAATAAATATTTTTTCAGAATCAGCAAATATTTAGAGAAATTGCTCTTTCTTATTGGTAGAAATCCTTTTTTTCTGTGCAGGTATATCTCAAATACCTTTTACATCTACGTCTGTAGTATAACAGTACAGTCGCATGCAACAACATGTATACATGTTTAGTAGCTGTCGAGCTCCTTGTGAAAGAGTTCGTCCAGGTATGTGAGCATTACTGCGTTCCGGTTTTGAAGGGTAAGGGTGCTGGTGAAATTACAGGCACATGGGGCTTGTCAACTTATGTCTTGACCCTTTCGTCACCAACATGAAAAAGTTAATTAAGATTGTACTGTCACGGAATTGTCTTACAAGTATTCACGTTGAATATTGAAAATATATTCTTTTATAAATAATTAGTAAAATATTAAAAAAGAACGACGTCACTGCTTTTTATTTAAGAGGATGAGCTCAAGTCGTGGAGTAATCCTGTTACGACACGACATTAACTTTTTCCCTTATCTGATCTAAATAATTTCATCCCGGTTTTCCTCTGTCTCTCTTTCCTTATATTATTATAACAAAGTAGTGGAGTAATTTCACAAAAAAAATGGAATATCATGTTGGTAGAACATCGTGATATTCAATAAACTTAATATTACAGTTTTTTTATCAAATCAACTTTGTTTAATACTAAAAATGCAAGGTAGTTCGAATTGTGCCCGAGAGTTTATTCTTATTTTCAACCAACTTCAAAAAAAGGAGGAGGTTCTCAATTCGACTGCATTTTTGCGTGTATCATTAAGTGGTCACATTTAAATTTTGAGAAAATATTCCACCCGTAAGGGTGGCAAACTAGAGGATGAATCCGGTTTCGCGTACTTTCCGGTAACCGATTTCAATAAAACTTGGCAAATAGATGTAATTCCACGAACTTTTGATGTCGGTTTTTTAGTACTTTGTACTGAGGATATTATCATCCAGGATGCCACAGTATACATACTAAATTGCGTGACTGTACCTTAGAGTAGTATAGTAAATACATGGCTAAAGGAGCCATAGACCCAGTAATTGCGTTCTATTCACAGTAAGTCTACTTTATTAAGCGAAGGCCTTTTCATTAACATTCCTGTCAAAAGCCCTTGCTTAGTATGGATTCAACGTGACTACAAAAATACCTATTCCGATGTTGAAGCACTCGCAATCTGAATTAGATAATGAAGCTACTCTTTCTGAGAAATAGAGAGGACATGATTATTTGCCCGTCTAATTTGTTAATAAAAGGTACTTTAAACATGCTGGTCGTTTAGAGATTATTATAATAATTTGCTATTATTTTAATTATTAGTTATTACAGCAATAATTCAGCGAACGAGCTGAAACGACATTTATTTAGTAGTGCTGTACTAGGCACGCGTTGCAATGCGACTAAAAGAAAAAACTGT